TATAATATAATGCGTATTGTTTATTTAGTAAATTCTAGTAGTTTAGAGATTTTGATATTTTTTGGTAAAATTTAAAAGAATAATTAAATGTTACTACACCCAAAAGTTTGTTTTTCAGTGTAGTCACTTTGAAAAATACAGAAAACCCTCAAAAAAAATTGTGATGAAAGAACATTTGAACTGAGCCTTAAACAAATTCCCACATCTGATTGTGTGTGCGGGGAGGTGGGACACGGAGGCCTGCTGGCTCTGAGACTTAAATTAGTCTAAAGGAAAGTTTTTGAAAAAAAAAATATGTCCGAATTCCTTGTACACCTGTATGCATGCAAACCATGAGAAAATCCGGGTACAGCTCGACATGTTAATATGGTCATTGTTAAGATGTGCACTTCTTTCACCGCACCTGTCAGTCACCTCYGCTCACCTGTGAGCCGGACAGCCGCAGCGGCGATGCGGCAGGAGATCTGTGCTGCGTGATTTGGTAGAAAAATTATTAAAACCTTGTTTTAAGTCGATAAGTATCACAWTGACATTCAAGATAGCCGTGCAACAAAAAAGGTAATTAAACAACTAAAAATTWAACTAATAAAATAGCCTACTTTTTTATTTGTCAATATAACTCAGGTTGCCGATTTCTGTTCTATTTAAAACCGTTCTAACTCTGGATTTTGTTGTGTCTGCTTTGCCTTCATCAGTAACACGCTAAATCCTCATCTCAACAGGGCAATCCTCACACCTTTAATTCTTTACATATACATGCAGTCGTAGTAAATCACACACAACACACCCACTTTTACCACAAACTATTTTTTTTATTTGCTCATGGTATTTAGCAGTGGTTATCTGCAGTCTTGGTAAGACTAGACTGAAGACTTTCCTTTTTGATAAATCCTATAGTTAGGCTGAGGTTTCCTGAGTTATTCCTTAGTTCTGCTGCTATAGGTTTAGACTGCTGGAGGACAAACTGTCCACATGTCCTCACTCTGCTGCTGTCTTTAGTCTCTCTCTACAGGTTTGTTGTAATTCTATCCATAACATGTTCTATTTATGTCTCTTCATGTCCCCCCAAACCCAGCCTGTTGAGGCAGATGACCTCCTGTCCTAAGCCTAGTTCTTGTTCTGCTGGAGGTTTCTTCCTGTAAAAAGGGAGTTTTTCCTCTCCACCGTTTGCTCAGGATGTGAGACTGTGATGAAGTGAAGATTCAACACAATCTGCTGGCTTCTTTAGATTGATTGTTTTTTGTGTACAGTGCCCTGAGACGATGTTTGTTGTGACTTGGTGCTATACAAATAAACTGAATTGGATGGACTATACTATACAATCAAAAAGAAAAAAAATTGTATAGTTCTTCTGGACGGGTTCTTCTCTAATGAAACGTTTCGTCTCTCCTCCAAGAG